TTACAGAAGATTTTAAATTTAAATAAATGCTGTTCTTTTGAACTTTCTATTCATCATATATATATATATATATATCATGGTTTCAACAAAAATATTAAGCAGCACAAACGTTTTCAACGTAAGCAAATCAGCATATTAGAATCATTTCTGAAAGGTCATGTGACACTGAAAACTGGAGTTATCACTGCTGAAAATTCAGCTTCGCCATCATAGGAATAAATTACATAAAGTATATCCAAAAAGAAATCATTTAATTTAAATTGTAATAATATTTCACAATATTAATGGTTTTATTGTATTTATGATCAAATAAATGCAGCCTTGGTAAGCATAAGAGACTTCTTTCTAAAACAAAAAACATTTTACCTGAATTTCATCTCTTGGCAGAAGGAGAGGTCGTCCCTGCGTTCCATCATCACCTCCACTAGCTGGCACAGCTTAGTTTTGATCTGAATGGCATGGACAACATTCCCTAAAATACGCACATACCTGAGAGAGGGAGCATTAAAAAAAATCCTTTAATGGAAAAATAAACTTCTTAATGCTCTTTTTATTAAAATGCCATGCAAATCCAGTGTTTATACTAACATTTTTCCTAACCTCTTTTTTTTTTTTTTAAAGAGCATAGGAAAGTGTAAATCAAAGTCTCACCTAACCAGGTTGAGCATCATGGTTTCAATGCTGGCTTGACCGAGGTGCTCTGAGCTTCCTTCAGTGTGACTGTCAAGCAGGTTCTTCATGATGGCGATGGTCTGCTCAACAAACAGCGTGTTTGTGTCTGTAATGGGAACCTATAGAAGAAATTGAGAAAGAACAAAGATGCTGGCACAGAATGTGGCTGATGCCTATGCAGAATGTGATATGATACTGATAATATGATATGAAATGCAAATACTACCGCATTTACAAAAGATTCCAGTGTTTAATGCATGTTAGATCATTCTAGATTAAATAGATCACTAAATGCTGATGAGACAGTATTTAAAAGGAGTGCATTGTCTGGATTGATCTGACAATGTTGGTATTCTGCCACCTTGTATCCAAAACTATACATGACAGCTATTTAGTGAAGAATGCTTGATAAGTTGAGTAATTTGTTCTATTTGTTGCCAGTATGTTGTATAGAAAATGAAGCATAAATTTAGCAGCATTTTTGCATTGTGGCTTTTTCACGAAAATTAGATACTGTTGAGCTGAATTTACAATCATTTACAAATATTTACTAAATATGATCAAATATTTAAATATGCCATAAATAAATATTTAAACATACAAATATAAATACACACTCATATACAAAAATATAAATATACAATATAAAAAATATAAAACCTTAATCTGCAAAAAGCATTAATGCTCTGAAATAAATGTTATTATATAATGATTTTACAATAATTTATTTTCATTATGAAATTCCTATTTCATACATAATAAAACATTTGCTTTTTATTTGAGTGCAGTATTAACTAGAGCCCGACCGATTTTTTGGGAGCCGATACCGATGGACGGACGACGATAATTTTGGACACTTTCCCATTCGTGTGTCCAAACTTTTGACTGATACTATATATAGAATACAGTATATACATAAACAGAATATATATACATAAACACATTTTTTGCAATGATCACTCAAATGAGGTGATCAAATACTTATAATGACGTGACAAAGATATGTAATGGAGGCAGGACAATTAACAATTTTACAATAAACTTTATTATCCAAAATGAGTCTGACATCAGTGCACTGAACAAGTAAAGTTGAAGTCTATTCAACTTTATTTAAATTCAATTTCATTCAACTTTATTCCATTGAAGTTTATTTCACTTCAAGCCCTCTCGAACGCCACCCTCTGCGCGTCGGTAGCCCCCCGGGATAGCCAGATTGGTCGGCGCCTGACCCGCAAATTTAACCGCCCGTAACTCCCGGACCCCGGGGACTATAGACACGGGGATGGTCTCATTCGAAAAGGGGCCTCGAGACGTACACTTGATTTGGCGTTCGAGAAGGTTCCTTGAGCTGAAGGGATCCCCCGTTTACTGAGAAAAAACAAGATTTGGTTTTTAAAAAGCCTTTTTCCAAAAGGTACATCTGGAAAAAGGGGGGTCGTCTTATAATCAGGGTTGTCTCATATTCGGGCCAATACGGTAATATACCGCTGTAAATAAATACAATATAAATTCACATCTCGCACACTTTAATGCCCTCTGAATGTAACGTGTACGTTCCCTTGGAACTGGAATAATGGCGGAATATCATGTGAAGTCCACTTCACAGGGCACTTATAGTCGAATAAGACAACACTTGAATGCTGCTGTCTGAACAAGAGACCTCCTTACTGAAGTGAAAGTGTTAGCTGGTGTCACTATCTAGCGAACACGGCAGCGGATCTCCACCAAATTCGGGGGCTCCCTTCAGCTCGAGGAGCCCTCTCGAACGCCACCCTCTGCGCGTCGGTAGCCCCCCGGGATAGCCAGATTGGTCGGCGCCTGACCCGCAAATTTAACCGCCCGTAACTCCCGGACCCCGGGGACTATAGACCCGGGGATGGTCTCATTCGAAAGGGGGCCTCGAGACGTACACTTGATTTGGCGTTCGAGAAGGTTCCTTGAGCTGAAGGGATCCCCCGAATTTGGTGCGGATCCGCCACGCTGTTACGGAGATATGGCCGTTCAAAGTTTAAATGGTATTCCATTCACTTAAGCTTTATAGCGTTTCATCCAGGTTGCCAGTAGCAAACAATGGAGAAACAATGGTGAAATTACTCGACAAACTACGTAATTACACCATTTACAAGCATTTTATCTGCGTTTTATGTTCTGTAAAAAAAAAAAAAGTCATATCGGTGGCATATCTGAGGCATATTCACCGGTACCGATATATCTGCAACAGGCTCCTATCGGCCGATAAAATCGGCAAAACGATATATCGCTCGGGCTCTAGTATTAACCAGTTCTTTGTGAGAATGATCTTTATGTTCTGAATGTGTTAACTTACACCTCCACATACATGAAATAAAAATATAAAGTGCAATACTTCGAAAACAATATCTAATCCTACAGTTGCATGCCATGATTATCATCTCTTACCGGACCCTGGGTCTCAAAAAACCGGCCGATGCTGTTGCGTAGCTTGGTGAAGAGCATAGGGTAGAGAGCTGGACTGAGCTCCAGTCCCACAAGGTCTTTGACGTTGGTTCGAATCTGCACGCCCACCTTTTCATGTGTACAGACCATGAGACCCAGCAGACGGTCCAGAAACCTGTTAAGAGACGTCTCGCTGTTCACCTCACAAGAGCCCATAGAGATCATGGAGCCCTTGCGTTCGGTTAGGGGTCCCATAGGAGGACTGTAGGTGCCTAGGCTAGGGGTGCTGCGCTGATGGAGACAAACCCCTCCCAGGGCACACAAGAAACCGGTCATGTTGATCCACTCCTGAGGACAGAGGAAAAAATTGTTTGTAGAGGAGGAAAAAAAAGTTATATACACCTTACTGATTATCGTTCTTTTAACTACCTGTCCATCTTCCACTTTGTTTTTCGGGTGGTTGAGTATCTGTTTAGTAGCTTGCTCCCATTTTGCACATGTGTCTTCCCATGCCTAAGATTGAAAAAGGTCAAATTTGAGTCAACTAAAATGAATAGAGAAGCTGCAAAAAAGTTGCAATGGATCTGAATGATTAGCAATTAATACCTGGAAGAAAAAAAAATGTACATCTTAAATTCACATAAGTTGACAAAAAGAAATCCTTACCTCTACATTTCCAGCTGTAGGGCGTTTTATCCTCCTTAACAGCGCCATCACTCTCTTCTGAAGTGTGTTGCGACCTGAATGCACATATAGTTTTATTTTACAATGAGACCAAAAAATTTTTTTCCAAGAATCCATGCCACTAAATCATAATATTAATCAGAATTTATGAATATCAGTATCAAACGTCATATTGACGGGCAAAAATTTATTAATTAACTAAATATATGTATTATTATTATAATATCAATTGCTATTTTCTTTATATATCCATAAATAAATAAATCCACATAAGTATTCATGACCACAAATAAAAAAATAATACATTCGTTCATTCATTTAGTTACATTGGTATTAACTGTTTTACAAAAATATTACCACATTAGTAATTATGGTCTTAAATGAATAAATACATTTATCAAATTTTTTCTAGCTATATCAAATAAGTAAATAAATGATATATATA